ATAATATTATAATATTTTCTAATTTATTATTTCAATACATCTTAAAATTTTATATAAAATAATAATATTTTAATATTATTAATAAACTTTTATTTATCTTTATAGAAAAATATTTTATTTTTAAAAAAATCTTAGAGTTAGTATAAGCGCTTGTTTGTTTATCTCTTAATAGTTTCAATAAGTGGTAATTTCTGAATCGTTAAGAGGGTCAATCTTGTTTGGCAAAAAAAATGTCTCTTAATGGTTTTAAAACACTGCGAATGATTTTGTATCTTGGATCTTCCTTAATTATTCAATATCATAATTAACTGTAAACAATTATCAAATAATTATACTTTATTTTACATTATATCATAAAAATCATTTAATCATTCTGATCATTTAATTATTTTATTTTAAACCATTTAATAACTATCAGACAAATATTAGATTATAAGAACGTGTAAAGCTCCACAGAAAGTTGTTAGAGCATCTCCTTCATCCGTTATGGAAATTACCAAAAGGTCCAAAATTGAAACTAGATGGAAGTTTCCAGAAGTTCATCTTGAATTCTTGGTCGTTGAATTGCATGTGTCATATCATTAAGGACAAAACTGTAAATTCACTTATTGCTGTAACAAATTCCATAGTGGTTCAATAGATCGTACGGTAGAATATATAGAGATTTACCTGCTTCATTCCTTATTTTGTCGTTTTCTGTATTAATATCATTACAGCAATTCATACCGAAGATCGATAGAGTCGATCGTATCCTCATCTCCGATCAAAATGGACGTCGAAATTCCCCTCCGTAACAAGATTGATGCAAATCCTCAAGAAATTGAAGTCGAAGATCATCTGAAATCATCCTCTCCGATCAAAATGGAAGTCGAAATGCCAACCCGTGACAAGATTGATGTAAATCATCAACAAATCGAAGACGAAGATCACCTGGAATCATCCTCTCCAGTCAAAATGGAAGTTGAAATGCCAATCCGTAACCAGATTGATGCAAATCTTCAAGAAATCGAAGACGAAGATCATCTGAAATCATCATCTTTGATCAAAATGAGAGTTGCAGTGCCTAACCATCACAAGAAGACAGATGTGAATGTTCCAGAAATCAAAGACGAACATCAACGGTTTCCGTTTCCGTTTTACCTCTTTCCAATGTTCCTTACTACCGTCAGTTCGTTCGTCACTTCGTATCGTCGCAACGATTATTTCTTCGCGGTTTTCAATCTGGTTGTTTTGTTATCTTTTCTACTGTCTGAATACTGCCTGCCGATGTACCGATCCATGCCGGAAAACGTGAAACCGAGTAGGAAACTTTGGACAAAAATAACGGTATGGTTTCTATACACAGCTCTCGCTTTGGGACATATTTTCGTGATTTCAAACTTATGGAGTTTTCAAGGTACGGTGGCTCTTTATCTGATTGTGTTCGTCTTAAGTCTGTTTCTGTTATATGCATGGATAATCGATGATCTTGTTAACCGCCGGAAGACTTGGAGCTCCGGCAAGGACGATGAAATTGACGTCCCTGAGATAGATGCCGGAAAATAGAGGTATTCCGATTCCGTTTTGGGGTAAGTGTACTTCATTCAGTTGGTTGCGTTACTTTTGTGTTTGTTACAAGATCACTATCCTTTTCGTCTCTTGAACCAATTGTCTTCAATTAGGGTTATTGTTGTATTCCTGTTTTTGGAGAGGAGTGATTGCTGTATTCAGTAATGAATAGGGATATTGCAATGGATTTGAATAACTTCTGTTAAACCATTGTTGTTTCTTTCTTTTTTCCTCTCCGTTAACTCCAAGCCTCCGGGTCTATATCCTTCCAGACTAATCTAAGTTACCGTTCCGTTTGTAGGAATGAAATGGATTTGAAGTAACATTGAATTTAGAAATTCCAGTATCAGATTTAATAGGATTTATCTGTAATAATGTTTAAAAATGTGTTGAAATTATTTGTTCTGTAATAATGTTTTTAAATATAATTAAAATTATTTGTTTTTTAGTAATCAACTGATATAAAATATCTATAAATAATGGAGTTCAGTTTCATTTCAAATCCACAAACCAAGCCCTTATGATTTCATATCTTTTTGTAAAACCAGATTCATTAAAAATAAATAGATCTCATGAATTTTCAATATTATCAACATGTTTATCAAAAAAAAAAAAAAAAAAAAACCAATGATAAAATTATTTAATTTTAAAGAACGGATAAGCTGTTAAATGAAATAAAGTTATTGAAATCAGGGATGTGCAAGAAATCAAACGTTTCAATTGGAACCGACCAGTTATCGACTATAACTGGATTTCTAATTGTAATAGGATTGAATTGAATTGTAAATTTTAACATCCAATTTGGATCGTTGGTTGTTGGATGGTAGTCAAGAATCCGCCAAAACCATCCGAACTGAAGCAACCAACATCCAATGACCCATGTGATAACTATCCACTTATCCATCCAGCTATCATCCAACTAATTTGATTTCAATTTGCTCAAATCGGAATTTGTTTTTGTTTCTCGCATTACTCATTCTTCTTCTGCCTCATTGATTAGCCAGGGTGAGGTCAAAGGCAGGAGTTACTGATCACTCACTCGTCGGATGCTCCGGCTCCGCGTCCTCTTAAAGTCAGCGATTCAACTGGTTTGTTATTATCAAAAAAGAGCAAGTGGTGGATTCAAAAATCTCCTCTCCAGTCAACTAAGAATATAATTAATATAATAATTTCTAAAATAGACAAACAAAGTTATTGATATAAAGAAAATATGAATGAAATGAGGAAATCGAAAATTTACAAACAAAAAAGGAATTTTAGATAAAAATAGATTGATAAGAATAAGAGTAAGAGATCGTTTACCAAATGCTTATTTGAATAAATGTTTACCAAGTTACATTATCTTACCGATAAACATGAACAAACACCAAAAATCTTACCCGGTAAAAGCGAGACAAGGACCAAGGGTCTTACCCAGTAAATAAGGGCAATGACTCTTACCACGGTCAGCTCTTACCTGGTAAATTGTTGCATAAAACGCCGATTTTGTTGAATAAAATCTTACCCAGTAAGTAAATGATTGTGTTGAATTTTACCTTTAGGTTCTGACCGGGTAAGTCTTTGGTAAATAGCCCATAAGTTACTTTTTTGACCCTATTGTTTGTTAAAATTTGCGGATTTCATCTATTTGGTTTTGAATTTGCGGTTTTCGTCCTTATAGTTTGAGAATCATTGCTATTTTTATTCCAAAATTCCTTCCTTTACAGACGAGACAAAAATAGTAAATGCATCGTAAACTGTATAGAGAAAAACAATAATAAAGTTAGAATAATAAGGATGAAAATAGTAAACATGTGCAAACCATAGGTAAGAAAATCGGAATTTCAAAACCACAGGGACTAAAAACGTAATTTTCAAACAAATTTCGATTGGGAAATGAAGAAAAACTGAATGGAGATGCGGGGTATCGATCCCCGTACCTCTCGCATGCTAAGCGAGCGCTCTACCATCTGAGCTACATCCCCAATTGATGTTTGTTTCTTATAAGTCCTACTTGATTTCTTGTAAATTCGATTCCAGATTTAATTAGTGCACACCCCAAATCTGTGCTTTGTATGTAGCCCACCCTCAGTCAAATCATCCATTCACGAGTCACGGATTTGTTGAATGATTCTGTTCTGGAATGTTTAATGCTTGGATTAGTTTTGTAATCTGTTGCTGAGCAGGGAGTTTGAAACTAACTTGAAGGTTCAGCATTCATGTCAATTTGAAGGTAAGATTTAACTTCATTATTTTGTTTCGATAACCTCTATCGGGACAAAATTCTATCAGAATCCATAATCCATGCTTGTTCTAGTCGATTTGATGTGGATGTTGCTAATTTGAATCTCTTTGATCATTGTATATTGTAAGTTCGGTGATTTGGGGGAGTGCATAAAAGGTGTTCGATGAAATGTCTGAGAGAAATGCTGTTACATACATCTGTCGATCACTATCACTTGGACTAAACATGTAAATATATGTTGTTTCTGTGTTTTGATTCGAGGTATATTTGCTTGGAGTAGCAGCAACCGTTCACGAAGGCCCATCGAAATGCTGAGAAGATTCATAGGACAGGCTTCTGTAGCACAACGATGTCGTCACCTCAGCGGCCGGCAGGAGTTGGTTGATTCTGTCCGTCGATGTTCTTCTTCTTCGGCGGCGGGATTGACTAAAGTGCCACTGGGAACTACCGTCGAACAAGCGGTAGACGCTCAGTATTCCGATGATTACACTTCTCAACCATCCGCCAAGATATCTGTAGACCGGTCCGGATTGAACAATCCTCCTGGTTCAGCTCCTTTCTACACCTTGACTGTTATACGCATATTAAATGAGATGTGTAGTAACTTAATTGTGTTTGTTGCAGAGCATTCTCATGAACCGTCAACAGATTCTGAACTTGTTAAGCATCTTAAAAGCATAATTAAGGTTTAGTTGTGCCTCTTTTTCTCTATCTACATCGAATTTGTTGTTGGATGAGTGTGTTCATAGGTTTGAGCTGATTTGAACAATGAAGCAGTGATGGTTTATATGGGTCAGGTTCCGGGGAAAACCCAAAAAATAAAAAACTGAGGAACACCCTCGTAAACGTTAATCCAAGTGCATACAAGTAATTTGTAAGCAATTTGTCCGGTATGCACATGTGTATGACGTGCACACTGTCATAAAAACCAAAAAACTGTTTCAGTTACGTGTATCCACATGTGTACTACTGTTAGTTAACGTGTTATCATATGAGCACATTTTATTCATACAGACATACAGTAATATAAATATGTCATTTTGCCTGATTTTCATCTATTCACATTTCACGCAATTCATTTTGTATTTCATGAAGAACTCTTTTGAAAAGTAGACTTAGAACTGCAGTGTGAGTCCCCATTGTTTACAGTTTTATTAATTCAACAAGATACAATTGGAATGGAAACCCAAAGAAATTAGATGCATAGGGTATGTGTAATTGGATCATAACTTGGGGAGTATTCAGATTTTTCCGAATTTTGTTTGTTGGTTTGATTTTTCCGTGTTTGTGGCTTTGTTTTCATATTCACAAATCACAATGAATGTTTGATGGTTTTTCAGTTTAGAGGTGGTCCGATATCAGTTGCTGAGTACATGGAGGAAGTCCTTATAAATCCCAAGGCCGGGTTTTATATCAATCGGGATGTTTTTGGTGCAGAAGGCGACTTTATAACCTCTCCCGAAGTTAGCCAAATGTTTGGAGAGGTAATTTGATTCTATTAGCATTCTTTAAAGTTCTCATTTGTCATTTCAAACGTTTGTTTCAAGACATAGAAAGCGGACGCTTGCTAAATTAACGTTTATCACCTTACTCACAAACATTAAATATTAAGGTTGACCACAAAGGTATTCGATTATTAATCTGTTGTGTGGTTTTTGCTTCAGATGGTTGGTGTTTGGGCAATGTGTTTGTGGGAGCAAATGGGGCAACCAAATAGGGTCAATTTAGTAGAGTTTGGGCCAGGAAGAGGAACTCTCATGGCCGATCTTCTACGAGTATACAACTTATGCTTAATTATTCTTTTTGCCTTCAAATATCTTGCTAATTCTACATTGATGATATGGGAAACGTGATTCTTGATAAACTGCTACTTGTCACTATAGGGTGCAAAAAAGTTTGAGAAGTTCACAGAAGCCCTCCACATACACATGATTGAAGTGAGTCCAGCACTAAAGAAGATCCAAAAGCTAACCTTAAAATGCAATGATGACGATGGTGATGAAAATACTGTTAGCGCCTTGACTGGAACGCGGGTTTCATGGCATGCGACCCTGGAGGAGGTTCCAACAGGATGTAAGGATGCTAATTGAGCAATATTAATGAATTCAATGCATTCAAATGTGATCCATCTGTAGTTATTTACAGGAATTTCCAAATCATATCCAGCTAAACAATCATCATCTGCCATCATGCATCTCATTTTAAAGTTCCTTAATTGATTTTGGAATTTTTCTGATATGCAAAAACTACAAAGTTTTCTTACATAGACTTTGTTCTTTATACTTGTATCCTGTTGTTGGATATGATGAATGTGCTTCTCCATCTCTTCTAAACATGCTATTGTTAATTGGTTTCCGTGTAACTCATTAAAATGGAATTAGGGCAAGGGGGCGGAGTGATTTTACTCAAATACACAACAGGTTCAAGTCCGAAACTTGCTGGAGAGGGTCTTGAACCCCTCCGCTAGCCTCAGCTGCCGAGCCAGCTCTAAAATGCCCCCTCAATTATGGTTCCTAGGGGGCGGGTTCCATGTGGGGCCGGTCGGGGTTGCCAATAATCAACCTTTTGCTCAACTATCACATTTACTTTCAGCAATTGATCCATTATTTTAGTGCCTTCTTGTGCTTTCACTTTGAGAAATATGAATAGATAAGTCCAGTGATGAACTTTCAAATGTATATAGGCAATACACACACACACATATATATTGTATTCCTTTGAAAAGTTTAAAGTATCATTTCCTTCTCTGACTTCATTTTTCCCCTTCCATGCAGTGCCAACAATTATTATTGCCCATGAATTCTATGATGCCTTACCAGTTCATCAATTTCAGGTTTTTCTTTCTTATTTCTTGTGGGGCTGGAATTGGTTTAGACCGAATCATCTTTTGACTTGACACATCCGTAACACATAATTTTATGCAAAATTTTGACTAATAATCAAATACCTAAAATACCCCTTAACTGGACAAAGCTGGGGAAACGTATAGACGACAATCAACCTCACCAATATCTTGAGATGACTACTAATGAGTAACTGATAAATTTGGATTAAAATCTCCAGGAGAAAAGGAAACATTGCATTTTTCTTTTGGGATGGAGCATAATTAATTTCTGTCACATATGTGAAGTAAACAAGAAAAAAGTTGTACATTGATGGTGTTCATTCTTGTCTAATGCTACTAATTACATTCATACTCATTGTTTTACTGTTTCCTCCAGAAAGCTTCACGTGGCTGGTGTGAAAAGATGATTGATGTTGCGGAAGATTCAAAGTAGGTTTTGAAAGACTGCCATCATATGTTTCATTACCCAACTTCTTCTATTGCTGATTTATTGATGGCTTCTTTTTCCTTTTACGGTTTTACCCTTCAGGTTCCATGTAGTGCTCTCGCCTCAGCCTACACCTGCAACTCTCTATCTTCTAAAACGCTGCAAATGGGCCCGGACTGAAGAATTGAGTAAACTGGAACATGTTGAGGTTTGCCCCAAAGCAATGGATTTGACACAAAATATTGCCAAGAGAATAAGTACTGATGGTGGTGGGGCACTTATAATTGATTATGGTCTTGATGGGATAGTCTCCGACAGTCTTCAGGTCTGCTACTTCTTCTCTAACAAGGCTAAATGCTATGCTAGCAAGTAGCAACAAGCTGATATGCACTGTTTGATTGCTGTGATATTATGATTGCACTTTGATTTGCTGAACTTTATGCTGCCCAACCTTTAGGTTATGTTTGGCAAACTAGCTGATAAGCTAGCCGTTGGCTAAGAGCATCTTCAACAGATTCTCCAAAATGGAGATCTTGAACCAATTTTATGCTCCAAAGGCTTCCCTAAAACTATGTCCAAAATGGAGAAAGTAGGAAAGATAGTTTTTTCTTCCAAATATGGAGGACACCCCCAAATGACTACCATGTGAGAAATATCTTTTAAGATATTTTCTCCGATAGGCGATAGGAAACTTTGAAAATGTGAACCAAACACCCCCTTAGATTATTTGGTTTATAATTGCAAGGCTTTTAAGGTGTCAGGTTTTTTTTTTCTTCATATATCTTCTTTCTTGATCCAACTTAAGATATATTTTCGGTTCTTTTTTTCCTTCCCATCATCACTGCTTTCAGGCCTTCATCATTCTTGTCTCATTGTCTCTTATTAGAACACGTCATTTTTTTAATAAATCTTATGAATTCTTTTTTGCAGGCAATTCGAAAACACAAGTTCGTTAATTTGCTGGATGATCCTGGTTCTGCTGATCTAAGTGCATATGTCGACTTTCCTGCAATCAGACACTCTGCTGAGGAAGTTTCAGGTATGAATTCCTTACTTCTTGTAGTGCATGCTCTCTCTCTAAATAATGCAAATTTTGTTCCCATGAAAGTGTTTTGATGGTCAACCTCAGTCAACCATCTAAAATACCCCTTGGTAATAACAACTAGAAGAATGCTGTTGACCAAAATTATTTCTATCAGTATCTTTTAGGGCACGTTTGGTATGTGACACATGACGGGACAAAACAAAACAAAAAATTGTTGTCCCATGTTTGGCGCGACATTAGACTTGGACAGTACGGGACTGAGGGCAGTTTGGTTTGTTTCCCATTAAATTCTGTATGGATAAAACTGTCTGTGTGGATTAATCTTTCTGTATAGATTGAGAATGTTTTTGTTTGGGAGGGTTTATCCATAGATAGAAGGAACGTGTTTCTTAATTGGAAGGGGCAGGTTAGGAAAAAACTTGGCTTTCCGTATAAAGCTCCTCCCTAGAAGCTTACTAATTAAGCCACTAATAAACTATGAGTCCGATTTTACTCATTAAGCTGCTAAAAACAGATCCTGAGTGGCCACCAAAATAGGTGGAACAAAAATCAGGAAGATGGAACAAGTTGATAAATTACTAAACTACCCATGTTAAATTAAACCCCTAAAACCTTCCACAATTCTTTCACCCGCCTACCACACCCTCGTCTGTCCAGTCCAATCATGTCCAGTCTTGTCCGCATACCAAACGCTACAAACACACCCTTAGTCACCCATCCACTAAGAGGTAATTTACGATAAAATTTCACCAAAGAAAAAGGAGTACCATTCCCTTGCATTTTCGAATATTAAGCGGAGACCGACAATTTTTTAACAATTTGCAGAAGATGTATCTGTGTACGGCCCCATCACTCAGTCTCAGTTTCTGGGTAATCTTGGGATAAATTTTCGTGTGGAAGCATTGCTACAGAACTGCACAGAGGAGCAAGCCGAGTCTCTGAGAACCGGATACTGGCGCTTGGTGGGCGAGGGTGAAGCCCCGTTCTGGGAAGGTCCCGATGAACTAACACCCATCGGAATGGGTAGTCGATATCTAGCAATGGCCATTGTTAACAAGAAGCAAGGTACCCCTGTTCCCTTCCAGTAAAAAATCATAGCATAAAAATAGTATTTTGAAGTTACAGACTGCTTAAAGCTTATCCTTTGAGAAGATTACCGGGTAGATCGCCCCCGTTCGGGGGGTGGGGTGAAGAAGTGCACCCACTCTATCGTTTTTTGGGGGTCTAAAAGGTGCATCCACTTTAATTTGATGTGTGCTTCTTTAAATTAACAAAAAGTGGTTGCAACATACTGGTAGTGTCTTTACATCTGACATTTTATAGGTTGAAAGTTCGAATCCCTTTGTCCCAGTTTTAATTTTTTGGTAACAGTAAAAAAGAAAGGGAAAAACCCGTACGCTGCAAAAAACCACTTGTTTTTCCTTTTTTAATTAAACTCCGTTTTTTGTAATAAAATTTTGTTTTATTCTATATTATGCTAATTATTTTGTGTCCCGCTTACAAATTCTACTGGATCCGCCTCTAGTACACTAGAGCTGATACTGTTGTGAAATTTTAACGAGACATAGCTCTCGAGATCGATTTGAAGGTAGACAAATGAAGATCCCAGTTGGGACTATTCATCGGTGGGTTGTAGTCTCGTCTCGTGTGTATGTTTAATAGGATTGTATTTTGTCCGAGTTTCAATGGCTATATCCCTCTCCAAAACTGCTAGAGTTTGGAGCTAAGAGGCCGTTTACAGAACTCTTACCGGATAAGTGCTTATTGGGTGAGTTTGGCAAGGACCGAGAATCTTACCCGGTAAGGAAAAACTCTTTCCCGGTAAGTGCTTACCGGGAAAAATACACATGCCAACAACCTATTTTGATAGGCTGAGAATATTACTGATAAAGCAAGTGAGGGTGGTGAGTGATGACACTCTTGTTGGCGGTCGCTTACCCAATACGCTTTCATAAACAACCGCTAAGGGTTGTCATCCCTTCAAGTTGGATTGAAGCTACAGTTTAACCTTCGAACGGGGTGATTCTATTGTTTGAAGAATACAGTCGGTGAACTTTGATACCTTGTGACCGGGTCGTGTCACCAACGAGTCGTAGAATCAACATTATATCGTGAACACTAAGGGGCCGTTTATTAAACACTTACCTTGATAAGCGTTAACCGGTTCAATTACCAGGACCGAGAGTCTTAGCCTATAAGATGGTAGACAAGGATCAAGTCTCGACCAGTAAGTAAGGGTGATGACTCTTGTAGCCATGGAGGTTCAAATGCGTGATATTAGTCGGCTTGCATAGCGGGTTGTATATCCAAATTAATTATAAAAAAAAAACATTTTTATCCTTGTTCATTTTGAAAAAGGATACTTGATATGTTATGGACGGTTCCCAAGCTTCCTTCTTTTTATTTAGTACCAAACGTCAAAAGGTGATTAAAGAAGGATTTAACGAAAAAATTAAAACAAATGCCAAAATTTAATTTAGGGTTGGGAACTGATTAGAATGGAAGTTATGGTGCGAAGGGTGAGAAATGATCTTCACATTTGAATTAATTCTACTTGAAGATCAAGACTAATGAGATGTACCGAGATGTACTGGATCAACTCCCATATCAAGCGTAATTCATGGGATAAGGATGAGATTAAAAGTAATAAGAATCCAGATATCTTCTTACGCTTCTCAATCTAAGTGTTATTATCACATATTTCTCTATCATTTAATTTATCACACAAATCTCCCTTTATTTCACTACAAGCGTTACCTTGAAACTAATCATTTTATTTGTAAAGCAGCCATTTTTATTGCAAACTTTTTGCAAGTGGTACCACCGACAACTCATTTGTGTCATTTTTATGACTACTTGAGTTGAATCATTATTCATCTTTTCAAATTGGGGTTCATGACCAAAATAGCCTCGACTTTTGGGCCAGGTGAGGCCCTTATGTAGCGGTTGGTGCGTAAGGGTGGGACTCGCATAACTTTGCTCAACGTGCCATGGTCAACAKGTTAGAGCTGGGTTTTTACAATTTTTTTTATTGCGTTTTAGTCCCTGTACGCACCAAATGGTGCTAACCGGGTAATGCATGGTCAGTTTGTTATAAATTTTAATTGAAGGGTTAAAATTGTAAAATTTTATTCTAAAAGTCAAAATGGTCAGGTTTCCGTTCAAATTGGCTTCCCAACTATTTCTCTCTCGGGTTAACTCAAATGCCATTGCTTCTACCATATTCTAGTCCGCAATATTGCAGATCTAGCTAAAAACCAAAAATTCAACACAAATATGCAATTGCACCGGCGGATATGCAATTGTGATGGTAAATTTGTTGAATTTGACACATTCTTTTGTCTTTTAGATATGTCTGCAATATTAAAGACCCGGGTATTGTAGATGTAGATATTTAGATCAACCCATGTTTAAGAGAACAATTTAAATGAAAGAAATGGTTGATATGAGCTAATTTCTCCATTTTTATTGCAAACTTATTTTAACATACATGAGTTAAAGTTATTCTGTTGTATACGTATTCCAACAATTTTGCAGAAAACCCACTGACTCAATAATACAAGACCATTAGCTGCACAAAGTGCGACATTCCAAGTTCAAACCCACCAATCCCCTAAGTTAAAGAAAAATACGTGTAAAGTTCACTATTACTTTTTTAATATAAAAATTATAAAATAAATGTTTACAATAAAGATATAAACAATGTTAAAAACATTTAATTGTTATATTTGTAATTAATATTAACAATTTTATCCTTAATATTTAAGAAGAGTAATAAATTATATATAGGGCAAATTATATGAGTAAGTGGCCTAGTTTAACTTGATTTTTATTTTGGATAGAGTATTTTTAAAACTTTCATTTTGGTACCTAAAATGTAAAGTTTTTTTAAACATTTAGGTACCCCGGGTCACTGGTTGAAGTATTAACCGGTTACTATACTGATGTGGTATCTGATTAATGTTTCAGCAAATAATATTGAGTTGGATGTTATATCACTCATCACATCAGTATCATAACCAGTTAATGCTTCAACCGGTTACCCATATACTTAAATGTTTAAAATTTTACATCTTAAGTACCAAAATGAAAGTTTGGAAAGTATGTTACTCAAAATAGGAACCAAATTAAAATACGTTATTTTTTCATGCAATTTTCCCTTACATATATATATATATATATATATATATCTTAAAATGAAAATTTCTTTTTGTAAGAAAGTAATAGAAAAAAGTAGTCATTTATAAAACCTAGCTCGTATACCATAGGATTTAGGAGGATGTATGTTATTCTTACTTTTATTTCAATAGTGTTTCCAAAAATCCTCGGATTTACAAATAAGATTTAAGGGGCTGTCTACTAGAACGTTTACTAAGTAAGTTCTTACTGATAAGAGTCACCATTCTTATTAACCTTATCTAGTAAAATTCTTGATCATAAGAAATCGCATGGAACAACAATTTTACTCAGTAAACGTTTACTGGTAAAAGTCGTTATCTCCACTTACCATCGAGGAGGCTGTTTGATTGGTTTTCCATTAAGTCATGTATGGATAAAACTATATATGTAGATTAGTCAATCTAAATAAATTAGAAAGGTTTTTGCTTGAGAGAGACAATTTATGGAGAAAACTTGGTTTTCTGTATAAATCTCTCCCCTAAAAGGTTACCGAATAAATCACTTTCTATATTATTAAGCTACTACCAAACAATCATGTATAGCTAACGAAATAAGCTGCGAGTCTTGTTAAGCTCATTAAGCTGCGAGTCTTGTTAAGCTCATTAAGCTGCTAACAAACAGGTCCTAATACTCTCGTTCTTTGCTTTGCCTTTACCGCGTAAGATTTATCATTTTAATCCGGTAAAATAAATGACCCGGTAAGCGTTTGAAAAATAGACAAAAACAGAAAGCATAACTATAATATACAATATAATCCAAACAAGAAAATGTAGGATGAAGATTGAAGCACGAAAGTTTTTGAAATTGTGATTATATTTTACATCATAGTTCTTGTGCCCCACACTAAAATGGCATAAAAAAATCAACCGGTTTGGATCGTCCCTATTCAATGGGAACACCTACGGACGTCCGCTTCTTGGCCTTCACCACCCGCAACCCCCTTTAAAGGTTATAATATATAATCAAAATATTGGTGAATAGGGTTTTCTAAAAGAATTGGCTGACAGTCACAGGTTACTACAACAAAAAAACCCACATTAAATGAAATTATCAAATACCATTACCATGCTTTCTTCAGCAGTATAATACTTTCGATCGAGATCGCCTGCCCACATGTCCCGATGGTGCTCGTTTTTTTCCTGAACTCGAACTAATTACACCCGACCCACATTGATTGTTTCTCGTCATCTGCATTGTCTCGGTCTAAAATTCTCGTCCGACAAAAGGGAAGTCACAAGAGTTTCAAGGCGTTTGGCACCGGGAGTGGGTCTCAGGAGCGTGAGATTCCCGACCATCGAACACGGATCTGAGCCATTTTCACGGCTCCCACTGCACCATCCGCCGGGAACAATCATATCCGGGCCTCGAAGCAGTAATTCAGAGTCGATCATATCGAGCACGGGTTCGTCTTGGTGGAACTTCCTTGCAAATGGCGCGTTGCTGTTGATCATCCTTGGCATGTCTTCTGATGTAAGGTAATGAGGATGCTGCTTTGGAGGGTTGTCCCATGTTATAAAATGGAGATCGCTGTTTACGGTGGTATTGCGGAATTCTTTTGCATTACATAAAACTGTATGGAAATAGCCTTCAGGAGACGAGATGAAATTCGCGTAGTACATGAGGACGGTTCGAGGCAAATTGTCCCATCCCCAGATACAGAAGTCGATGAAAGGGCGAGATAGAACCATCCAAGCAGATCCTGTGAGAAAAAACCGCTGTGGTCAAAACTAAGAATAGACTAAATTGACTTCTCCGAACATTGTACTCGGGGGGGCCTTTACCAACACAAATTAGGTAAGCTAACAAAGAGTGCGGTCTAGGTCCACAACTATTCACTCACCAAAGGGTCGTTTACCAAACGCTTTACCGGGTAAGCACTTACTTATGTCATTTATCTTAATGATTGAGCATGATAATAACCAATAACCTTACCCAGTAATAGGTATAACAAGGATCAGGAATCTTACCGGTGATGGAGAAGACACTTACCCGGTAAGCGCTTACCAGGTTTAATACGCTCACCAACAATCCATTTTGATGGCCGAGAATGTTACATGATAAGGTAGCGAGGGTAATTTCTCTTGTTGATAAGCGCTTACCCGGTAAGCATTTGGTAAATGTCCCCTAAGAGTACCTCCCTTAGCTTACCGGGTCAGCATCAGGGGCTGATAAGTGGGGGCTTGGTAAACAACTGCATCTTTGACCGAGTAAGTGCCTCTTACCTGGTAAGGGACGCTAAGCAGATAGTAAACAGTGCCTTAGTTTATCGTTGCCAACTAACCATTGTGGTTGTGAAATTCTAATGCAAACAGAAAGCCATCATAATTGGACTTCTCTGTCCAAAATCATCCATTCTTGCAAAGTGCAGCCTTTAACTGCATATTTGCAAGAACTATGATTTGTTTTGGAACAAAGATCAAGGATGATGATTCAACAAGTCAAATATCTATAAACCAAAGGTAAATAACAAGATTAGGTAGAGAACTAGAGATGAATAAACTAAACTCCACATCATTCTAAAAAAGAAGCTCACTAAACCTCACAGACAATAATAATTGAACTATACAAAGGATCAAAGATGTAGTGCATGATTAAGCAATTTCCTTATATCCATGGTTGTCACTGGGGTTCTTATTATATCTCATGAATATTCAATATTTTACTCTTCAATCAGAGGAATACCGTTTCCTTTTAGACAAAGAAAGCCAAACATGGGAAATATTAAACCAAACCAAAGGAGCCCTATATATCTCATCCGAAGGTGGAGACTAAGGAGGTGTGATGAACGCAAACCTAACCTCTACCCCAAACAAGGGAAATGTCATCCAAGCTATCTAACTGTCATAAGCATCTTTCTTTCAATATTTCTGCTGTGAAATCGTAAGAGTCAATGTATTAGACTAGCCTGAAAAGCATCTAAACAATATAACTCATGGTAGGAAGTTATTGTTAGGGAAAAGATCAAAGGAGAACCACAAATATTTCGAGAACCATGAGAACCAATATATGCATTGTGCATATACACTAAAGAATGAATTTCAGTGTATGCATAGGTGCACATATCCTTGCATACATAGTAGATATACATTAATGAATATACTCAACAATATACATATTTTGATGGTGTGAATGCATTTACTACATATATATGTGTGTGTGTGTGTGTGTGTGTGTGTGTGTATATATATATATATGCATCTAGTTCTCACGAATCACACGATCCAAAAATATTTATGGTTCTCATATAAACCTTCCCCATTATTGGCAAGGGGCTCAAAGTTTACAATCACAACATATGTGGGAACTGGGAATGGATGTTACAAAAGGACAGCAGAAACATCAGAAACAAGCTACGCTCAGCTAAATTAGGTAAAAACACATATGCCAAATTGCCTACAAAGATTTTGTAAATGCACATGGAAAAAGTTTTAACATGTTCAGACTTCTAAATAAATCTAATACAAAGTCAACTCATTAGAAAACTATGCTACCCCATTATATCCATCAGGAAGCTAAAAGACCCTGGTATATCGTATCAGACTGTATATCCCATTAGAAAACTAATGAGCCCAATATATCACATCGAAAAACTAAACGAGCCCAATATATCCCATCATAAAACTAAACAAGCACAGTATAACCCAAGGTGTGGTTTAGGAGGGGTGAGATTTACTCAGTCATGGCGGCTGTTTTTATGAATCACAGCTTGCAAATCATTAAATAGTGCCATAACCACATGTCTATATCAGAAACCATAGACACCGTAATAGATAAAACAATCAAGAGACAACCAATATGCAAAACCAATTACGGTAAACGGCTAATAGAAATGAAGTAAATAAATTATGTGGATAAAAAAGATGCCATAAAAACCTGTAAACAATTTGAAGGCTGTCGGCACACTTCTTCTCTGTGTGATCCAAAAAACATCAGTTTTCTCCGTCATATACAGCCCAGGATCAACGATGACAGGCTTTGCCCTTTGAAACCTAAACAACATACATTTATTGAGATTACTACAGTGGGAGGGATCTGATTATCCGAATTATAGATTTTCTATAACAAAATCAAGGAGATCTTACTCTTTCCATCCGATATTGCTGGTATGATCGATGAAATTGAGATCTCTAGGTATGGAAGAGAACGTATGAAGCAGATCTGAAACAAAAACAATAATCATCAAAGCCTGTTTGACAAGATAACTGTGCTGGCATAACAAAAGCTCACCGTCTTGAGTGACGAGGGGATAATCAGAGGCGCTGAGATTGATAAACCAGTCCCAATCCCCACCTTCTCTCAACAGGATCGCCGCCGCGTGAAGCGTATTCGCCACCATAGTGGGCCCACGATAGGTCACGAGATTGGCCTTGGTGATCATCACCACATTGCCGAATTTCACGAAAACCGGATGGTTTTTCACGAACTCATGCAACTCAAGCCGCTCCTCCGGCGAAGATTCGGCGTCCAGATGGACCACGTAACGGTTATTCGGATGGTACAGAGCAAGTAAAGTCCGCCGGAGCATAACGCCATCGTGATTAGAACCAGAAATGAGGTAGGCGAAACGAGGCGGATGAGGAACATCAGAGATACCGATAGGACTGAGCTTATCTTCAACAAAAACAGAAGAACCAGCGGTGGCGTAGTAGCCATAGATACGGTTGCCGTCAAGTGAAGTTAGGGTTATCAGGAACAGGAGAAAGAGGAAGACGGTTGACCCGACAGCTAATGGATAGATCCATTTCCTCTTTATAGTATGTGGATGCCTCAAATGCATATAAAAACTCCTCAGTTTCTTCATAAATCTCAGTTTCACACAAATTCACCTACCGAATTGCAGCGATGGTGGATAGAGAAGATTCCGGCGGCTGATCTTGAAATTTGGGCCAAAAACGAAATGAGGAATCAATTGACGACCAGATTTGTTTGAAAAAAGCATGAATGTCTCTCTCCACAGTAATCAAGACGTGCATCAATGGCGGCGTGTGTGGATTTCGAAGCTCAACAAGAAGACGGTGTGAAGATGGGGGAGTTTGGAGTTGGAGTTGAGTTGGGTGTGAATGAGATTAGAAAATATGGGGTTTACACAATAATTCAACTTATTTGAAATAATGACGACGGAATCTTATATAAATATACTATAAAAATAATTTTTTTATTTGAAATTACAACAATAATTTTGTATCAAACTAAACCAGTTAAAAGACTGTTTATTAAATATTTATCCGGTAAATGCTTACCGGTAAAATTTAACGTTATCATTTACTTATCGGGTAAGACTTTAATTCACCAAAGCAGCAAATGTATGCAACAATTTATCCAGTAAGCGTTTACCGTGGTAATAGTCGTCGCCCTCACTTACAGGGTAAGATTTTTGGTCCTTGTCTCGTTCTTATCGAGTAAGATTATTGATCATTACCATATTTATCCGGTAAGGTAATGTGATTTTGTAAACACTTACCCGGGTAAATGTTTAGTAAAGGACCCCTAAAAGTGAAACCATATTATCTGATTAATTATTTCTATCAATTTCCCCAATTTCGATGGTACCAATTACAATATGTTGGTAATATCATGGTATTTGGAAGTCGCTTACCATGATAGTACAATTGTACTGACTTATTTAATTATTTATTAGTTTTTGTATTTTTATGTATCGACTATCAAATATTAAAAATAATCTCCATGACAGTAAAAGGTGGTTCTCGACCTGCTTGCCCTGCTTGCCACTTCCAACGGCGGCGATGTTCGTCGGACTGCCCACTTGCACCATTTTTTCCCGGCGAACCAACCCAAGATCTTCCAAAATGTCCACCGTCTTTACGGTGTCGGAAACATCATCAAGATTCTAAAACAGTTGGAAGACGACGAACATAAACAAGAAGCGATGAAATCGATCAAATACGAATTGTACATTCGTCAGATTTATCGAGTCGACGGATGTTACGGAACGATAATTTGTTTGCAACAACAGCTCATGCAATCGATGCGAGAGCTTCAACACGTTCGGGTTTTGGTCGATGCATATAAAAAGAACGAAGGTAAACTGTGTATTGGGTATGATGACGTGGATCACCACTTCGTTCCTGTAAAAAATTACTGGGTCGTGAAAAGTGTCACTGTAACAATTTGTTGTGTGTCATTGTATATATTTTGATTCCTCGATACAATTTTCCCTTGGTATAGTTCAGAGACCCGGGTTTGAATCTTGTTGATGTCATTTTCTTGGTTTTTAATTTTTTAATTTCAGATTTATTACGTTTCTGAAAAAAATTGCAATAAAATACTTGAATACAACACCTCACATATGAAAAACTATAAACTAAGCAATATTTGTTTCTTATAATCAAATGATGTCATCGTTTGAAAAAACTTATAGGTCCGTCTATGTTACCGGCATCGGGAAGCCATCAGGATATGGATAACGTGAACTGTCAGATTCTTGGTGGATCGAGTGATTGGAGATCGGAAATGACGATGACCCACGAAGGGAATCATGATTATGATCATGATTTAGGGATTTACTACGATGAATTGAGTGATCATAACGCTAATGAAGTCGTAAGACGGGTGATAGAATCCCAACCATACTATGAGTGGGACGATCAAACGAGAAACGGCGCTGATTCGATCCAATATCGATCTTGTTTAGATGCATTTCAATCATGTAGCATTGACCAAGGCGAAGAAAGTACAAATTACGCTGAAATGACGTGCGATTTACTTGTTGACGATCCACAATAGCATATGGAATCGAAAGAAGCTTATGAATTAAGGTAATCCGTAGTTGTTCGATCTTTTTTACTTTTAGAACGGTGTTTTTCTGTTCCAACTTGCATCTACTTTGATTAATCGCATCTGATTCTGAAGGTTACGACCAGTAAAATCCTTAGTGGCCCTAAAAGGTACGAAAAATGATTCATGGGGTGGAGCCTCACTGTCTATTTTACTGAACCCGGAGAGTCAAAGCCTAACAAAGGCTTGTTTCAGGTTCAAGACGGTGTTCATCGTGCTACGATGGAGTATTAGGATTATACACACGGCCGTTTAGATTTCCGATGAAATAAAATGTTTCGTTCAAGTACATTTTGTGGTCAAGCTCTATACAGATTGAGTCGTATTTTGCTTAGAATCCCATAATTTTTCTAGRCGAGAAGCATACTATGACTTAATAATCGTACAAAAAGAGAAGAAATATGGTGTATTTGAAAGCTTGGCTCGACCCATTATATATATATATATAAACGAACACTGGTCGTGTGACGAGTTTTATGTCGAAAAAATTACTTCAGATATTAAACCGTTTTCATATATTAACCATTTAGCGCCATAATTTCGTTGTAAATAAATATCAAACAATTACATTTCATTTTGCACTATATCATGAGAGTCTCTTAATATATATCTCATTTTAAGGATCACCAATATAAATAGTTCGTTTTAGAGACCAAACTCTAACCGTAATAATTCACTCTTTTATTAAATAAACAAAATAGCAAATTGCATGAAAAAAAATAACATACTCTAACTTGATTCATATTTTAGGTAACGTACTTTCAAAACTTTCATTTTGGTACCTAAGATGTAAAGTTTTAAACATTTAAGTAATTGAGTAATCGGTTGAAGACTAATTTTACATTAAAATAAAACAATGTCATTAACCACGTCAGCAAATAATACTGAGTTGGATACCACATCATCATTATAACCAATTATTTTGATACTTTAATGTTTAAAACTTTACATTTTAGGTATAAAAATAGAAGTTTTGAAAATACTTTACCCAAAATAAAAATAAAATCAAATAACATTATTTTTTTCATACAATTTACCCTAAACAAAATTTATCAATCACATAATTAAAAATAATTATTACAATTTTAAGCAATTAAACCACATTTATTACAAGTATGAATGTATATTCAAACGTAATTATAGCACAAGTCAAAGTTGAATTTATTTAATATCAATCAATAATTCTCACCAAACGATTATAAAGTCTATACCTAAAACCAGAAGAGTGGTGTCTGATTGGTTTGAACTTGGCTTCAAATGTTAAAAGTATCAGGAGGTCCCAGGTTCAAATCCAAGTAGAAATAAAAATCTCCTTGTGGCCATGAATGTTCAAATGCGGTGACTCCGGGCTATTTGCAAAGCAGATGGTCGCTCTGGATTAGTCGGCTCGCATAGCGGGTTGAATATCCAGGTTAATCAAAAAAAAATCTATACCTAAAGAAAATACATAAAAATAGTTTAAATCTATCAAAATAGGAAAAACAGAGATTTTTGTAATTATTTCTTTGGGTTATTTATTAAATATTTATCGGGTAAGTGCTTACTGATATCATTTACTTTATTAATTATGGAAATGGGGGAAAAAGTTATTGTATGTGAGTCACTGGTCTCCTAGGAGATCAACGGTTCAAACTTAACCAAAGATGAACACGGTGTGAAAGGTATGACCAATTCATCATATACTTAACCCTAGAATTGAATCAAGTATTAAATAAAGAAGAAAAACTTATCCGTACCTCGAATCATTAAAGAAGATGCAGCCCCTGTTGTAATTTCCTCTTGTTCCATTCTTTACAAGATCCACTTCTGTATATCTAACCCATGATGGATATGGTTTCAACAGATATTTAGTGTTCTTGACAGAGAGGAACAATGTTTGGCGCTGTAAGAGGTTTATATAACATATCTCAAAATCAGAGGATCTGAAGCGACGGTTCTGTCCATCAAAGAACCGAAATTAACTGTCACCAATATATACGGTACCCTCTATATATATGTTTAGTAACAGTACTATATTAACGTGAATCATATAATTGTTGACTCACAATTATCTTGTTATCAACTGTGATATATATATATATATATTACACGGTGTGTAATTTTGTTGTTCTATTTGTCATATATAAATATTATATACTTCAAAAGAAACCACATGACTCACATGTTACATATATTTTATATATGTTCTTATTGACACCACTAACATGAGATGGAGTATTAGAATCGATATTTCCTGATAGTTATTGAGTGATATGTGAGTGTAAAGGGGTATAAAATGTGACTGCACGAGTGAGAACTGAGGAGGAGGTATGAAATTACACGTTATGCATATTTCACACCCACTTCTTACTCACATGCCGTCTATAACTCATATGAATTAGGTTTATGCATCAGTTGACATCCGGGAAAGCGAACCGATTCAATCATCCATTAAATGTTGGATTTTCCAACCAATCTAATCCAATCAAATGGATAATTGGATCGATTCGATTTCATCCATTGGATGTTTTTTATTGAATAACCATTGGATCGTATTCGATCCAACCAATATTAAATGGACTGGGTCCATCCGACATCCAATGGATGATCTGATTGGATTGGATATATCTAATGTGTTAATTCAATCAAAAATCCGAACAGTGAAACAAATTTATTAATTACTTTTAATAATTATTAAAAACAACACAAATGCGAGGCTAAAAAATTCAAAAGCCAACACCAAATAATTTCTGATTTAAACAAATTGAAAACAAGTTAACAAGTTAATTGAATGATAGCTGGATGGATAGCTGGATTGTGATCGGATGGTTAATTAGACGTTGTTCAATTAGGTTCGATCGGTTTTGAATTGTCATTCAAGAACCAACAGACCTAAATTGGATACTGAATTTTTCAATCTGATCTAGGCCCATCAATTCTAATTAGATCGGTTGAAATTGTAAGTATGAAAGACTTCCTGCTATCAAGAACGCCTTGGCAAGCCGGGCGAAGCCAAGCATGCCCGATGCCTTGTGACCGCACGATGTTATCAAGCATGCCTAGGCAAGCCGGGCAAAGCCAAGCACGCTCGATGCCAAGAAACACGTTGTTGCGGGCCGAGGCACGCTGTGCGGCTGTGGTGTTGTATGCCTCACAATCTTTTGTTTTAACTAAACAGTCGGATTCTCCTTGTCCGTACCGGTTCTGAGTTGGCTGTTCGATGCCCGGGGAAGTCCCCGAAGAGACCG